CCCCCTTCCCCCCCATCCTCTTGTGAAAAAAGTCCTTGTTTTTACAAGGGTAGCACTTAATAGCCAGTGGCTAACAAACCTCTGGCCCTCGTTCCGTGATGGAATTGGAATTAAAGTGTCATCTGAGGTACTTGAAAGTCTAACCATTTGCAGACGTAAATACAAAGGCAGCACTTTCTCCTCAGTTATTTTAAGACCCTGAGTGTTGGTCCGGCTTGGACTTGAACCACAGCCTCCGGCACGAAAGTCTGATGCTCAACCAACTGAGCCAACCGGAGAGAGGCAAACCGTAACTTTCACTGCTATGCCACTTGTGCTTCCCACAAAGCCATGATAAGTAAATAAAAAGCATGAAAATTTCCCTGGGTGTTCTTATTTGACAAATGCTTCCTTACCCTCAGGAATTCCAAATTTTTCATATACGTATTTGTCAAATCCCCATCTCCCTTAGCTGAATTCATACAGACCCTCTCCCATGGGACTAACATTGATAGGTGCATTTGTTTATAATAGAACAGCCTTGAAATTTGACAATAAAAAAGCATTTGTCATTAGGATCTCTTGTTAGATCAACCAACATGGCAGCTGTTTCATTGTTATTCATATCTAAATCGATTTTGAGTAATGTTTTTTTCCCATCGAGTGACGGTAGCCATGACAGGAGGCACAACTATTGTGTCTTTTCATAGTTAATAGAGGGGAATGGTTAGGAAATCTATTGTTATCAGGTCTTTGTTCGCTTTTGATGTTGAACCAGTCTTGACCCTGCACAATGTTTGGTTTATGTTCATCCGAAATTGCAAAATAAGTAAACATAAACTTTGTCTATGGGATTGTTGTAAGGAATATTCAAATATCTCTTTAAAATCTTTAAGTATTTTGAACTAGCAGCCAAAAGAAAGATTTTGGTCTGTTCACTCAGCCATTGCCAACAATGGTAAAACAAAGGATTGTGCACGGTCACGCTTGAAAAAAGTGAACAAAGACCTATAACAATAGATTTCCTAACCATTCCCCTCTATTAACTATGAAAAGACACTATAGTTGTGCCTCCTGTCATGGCTGCGTGATGCAGCAAAGCCTCTAATACCTTGCATGACAAATCATTACAATGGGATTCAACTTTTCTCAAACTAAAGTTAAGAAAACTTTACTTACCCAGCTGTGGTGAACCAACTTTAGTTTGACTATCTGTAGCAAATACTTGCAAGAAATTTAAGTTTAAAAAGAGAAATTCTAAAATGATAAGAGGAAGTTTGTCGGCCATCTTGGATTGCTTAGGAACGCTCGGTTATCAATGACACAGGTAACCCACTACACTGAGTACCGCCAGCATTCCACATATTTAGATCAGCGTGACAACTATATAAAAGTACTCTTTGTTAGTGATAAGTTTGGGGTTGGGTACCGAACATTAGCTGGTCACCACAGCTCACACCACTGCACTCGTTAACTGTCACACTGATCCACTCATTGGAATATTCTCCCCTATTTATGGCTCACCAAAGCAGCGTTCCTAATCCACTGCCAGAGAGGCGGAAGGGATTGTGCGATTGAAGTGTACCGAAGCAACCACAACGTTTTTACAAAAGCCAGACAGTAGGCCAAATTGTAAGTCAGTATGATGATGATAAATGGTGACGATGGTGTTGAAGATGTTGATGATGGTAATTATGATGATGATGATAATGATGATGATGATGCGTGGTGATGTTGATAATGATGATGGTGATAATGATGTTGGTAATGGTGATGTTGATGATGGTGATGTTGATGATGGTAATTATGATGATGGTGATGATAGTGATGATGATGATGATGATGTTGATGGTGATGAGGATTATGCCTTAATACATTCGTGATAACCGTCACAAGATTGAGATTTTTTAGTGATTTTAAGAAAAAGATGTCGTTTAGCAATGTAACCGAGTAGCAAGGTAGCAGCGTTGCAGTAGCAGTGTGTTATCAGTGTAGCAACCAATTAAGGAAATGTAATTAATCACGTCACAGAAAATGATGCGAGCGGAGAATATTGGGCATATTTTCAGAAGTACACACACGATCAATGTTTTTTCAGTTTTATTTCTAAATGTATCCTGGTACCACGTACCTATTAATACTACAGGCCTTAGCTTTACAAGCGTTTAATTAGAAAGCATTTATTATTCTCATTCAATGCATACCACTTTACTCCCTAACTACAGGCTCAGTACAAGCTTAGCCTCGTTTTAGAGCAAGTCATTGACAAGAATGTTTAACTTGTATACACCTATTTCAATAAACGTTGTCATGCCGAAGGCGATAGGCAATAGGCGATAGGTCATTCCGACATGGAAATGGTTTCGTTGAATACAAAGGACATTGAATCAGTCCCAACGCTAAGGTCCATGTTCTTGACGAGAATAAGAAGCAGAAATACAAGTCATTCCAGCTATTCTTGGATCTTGGAATGATCTCCTATCGCTTTGCGCCTATTGCCTATCGCCTTTGGCGACGACATTTATTGAAATAGGTGTGTATGTCAAATATCTGTTGAAATACCATTGAGTTTTTTTAAATGGTAACTACGTAGTAGAACGGTTAAACCCGTGCAAATGAGTCAGCGGTCATGAAAACCAGTGGTAGTCATTGAATGAAAAATATATTATTAACAAAGTATAAATATAGCCAAGTTACGACAAAATATAATACCTTAAAGCTTGGTCACATGAGTAAATACGAAATTACATTATCACTAAAAAATTTAGGAAGCCGAGTTATGCGTCAACGCAGTAGCTTGAATGTGATTGGATGCGATCGAAAAATACCGTGCCGGGGAAGCCAACAAAATAATTTTGCTGGACCATATGAAAAGCCTTTTAAGTGTTAAGGAATATCACATTAGAATGAATTCCCCACAAAGCTATATTACGTCAAGACGTAAATTAATGATTTTTTTGGTCATGGCCGAGCAAGGCATTTAATGAGAAGCCAATTTTATGTCAAGGAGATTCTGCTATTGCACATTATTGGACATARTCTGCTCCGAAAGGATCACCACCTTATCGTGGTAGGGCAGTTTGTGCGTCTCTATGACCCCTAGAGCTATGACGGCGGGAGTGATGCACTCCTGGCAGGGCCACCCATGCCGAAAAGGTCGAAGGATAGAGACCAGACGAAGAGTGATCCAGTGGGGTTGGGGTGTGGGCTAATCCCCTGAACACGGAAAACATCACTGATTATGGAAAACTAAATCATGAAGGGCCTAAGTTCCCAAGGGAACGAACAAAACTAAGCAACATTATTGGATATACGACATACGATTTGATATAATGCCTTACTATAATAGGACAACACAAAACATTCCACCCACAAGACATTTTTATGCCAAAATAGATAACCGCATTCGAGTATTGATTGGAAAAGACGTAAAATCAAAAGCCATTTCAATGTCAATCGAAAGCCATTTCAATGTCAATCGAAAGCCATTTCAATGTCAATGCGTGCCTTTTCGTACTCTACATTGATTGGACAAGAGGTACACATCGATGTAATGGGACAGTAATCGTTTTTAAAACTTTTTTTATCCTCATGTGAGACTTCTTTCAATCCCAAGGCTATATCCTAGAGATCATCGCCGAGTTTCATATCGAGAGAAGGGGCTGGGGAGACAGGAAAACTGTTGACCAGGCTGGATAACATAAACATTTCTAATATTTGTAATGCAGCTCGATTTTAACCGAATGAACAAAAGTCACTGGGAAATTTACAAGTTCGTGGCATCATTTTCACGACTGTCTAGTTTCAAGCTATTCCTCCCACGATATGACACTCGACACTGCATGGGGTGCCTGTGGCTACTCTTCCTATTGACAGATTATCTGTAACGTGCAGGGGGAGGGGAGGGAGGAATGATTTGCCGAGATTAGTAAGTATCATGGATACACGCCCGGATTTTCGAGCTAAATGTTCTCTACTACGAAAATATTACATACGCTTCTAATTTACAGCTTCTTTCTTTAGAAAAACTAAATTTTACTTTAAACTACACAAATTACTTGTTCTCCGTTAGAAGATGAAGATCTTTAGACGGTACTACAAAATACGACCTTGATTATTTAAGTTCAAACATGACGTTTTCATCCAAACTAGACCAGAATGCATCATAATGGCTATATGAGAAATTGTTTTAAGAAAAAATAGGTCCAACTACTTTATACTAAGAAAACTTGAGCTTATACTTTGAATATCGGTAATGTTAATTGTCCCAAGAGCTCAAATGTGAAGAATACTGGGAGAATAGACGTTAAATAAATACCGTTTGATGTTTCATTCATTTGTGGCATATCGCTTTGTACTATACTATGAATACACTCTATTGAAGAATTGTTGTCGGGTTCAGAAACATAGGACATAAAAGCTGAGACCGAAATGGCACATGGGAAATGACATATTTATATCATAATTTATTCATTTGTGTCATCCATGCAGTCCGTTTAGAATTCTAAACGCGTATTCAGAAGACCTGCGTTTGAGAGCCGTTCGGGCTCCGCATTTTTATAGGTTGCAGCGTAGACGAAACCGCTTATTTACTCCCCATGTGCCATTTCGGTCTCAGCTTCTATGTTCTATGTTTCTGAACCCGACAACAATTCTTCAATTGAGTGTATACTGGTATACGATCATCGGATAGCTTAGCTTTGTACTTAGCTTTGTACTTATCTAAAGCCAGATATTTCTTGATTTCACTTGACGAGTCTTTGCCTATCTCATCAGCTGAGTTTTACACCAGGTCTAATGAGGTTTTTTTTAAATAGGCCAAGGAAATAAGGATAGTCCAAGCATTGTGAGAAGTCACTAAGGATCGCCCTTCATGGTCTCTTAAATATCGAATCCTATCGAATACAATCAAAGTCAATAGAGTACAAAACGATGGGCCACACATGAAGTAAATTCYGAATCTCCGTTAAAAAAGCAAGTAAAATATCCAACAGCTAAGATAACTCTAAGCTAAAAAAATATCTACCAAATACCTCCTTAAACTAATTTAGACCTATTATCACGTGATTAATCGAGCCAATCAGAAACCTCACGTGTTATGCTGAGCTAAACCAATGAGAATCTAGGAGACAGTCACGTGTTTTAGTTGACCAAATAAAATCTAAAATTGGAAGCCAAACCAGTTGTCACCTGTTACGCTGTTGTAAACCAATGAGAGCCTAGGATCAGTGGTCACGTGTTAAATAAGGGCCAATTCGTCATGATCTCCAAGACGCATCTTTTCCTCTTTAACATTCTTACTCCTGTTTTTACTTTTGCTGTCTTTATCCAGTAGCTCTCTATCATTGCGTTCTGAAATCAAATTCCAGTAATAATCAAAAAAGACTTCATTTTCGGTCTGGTAGGGAATTTTTACTAGTGGAATGGCAATTTCCCAATTATATATATATATATAAAGGTTATCAGTCAGTTAAGCATCTGATACGGCTGTGTATTTTTACGAGTCACGAGTAAAATTGCACAGCCGTATCAGATGCATAGCCGACTGATAAGTTGTTTATCATATAATTCTGCAAAGAAATGCTCATAATCCCTCTAAACTCTATCGTACTAGATCGCGAGCAGATGAGCAGTGCTGATACGGTCTCATATCAGGCATGCTCTTTTTCCATATCACGTACGTTCTTTGCAAAATGATCAATGAGATTAATTCATCTGATTGATACTAATAGCATGAGTAATAAAATATTCTTTGGTTGATAACACATGACGGGCAGTGCATGTTTGCCTGTCATTGTAGGCTGGTAACGAGATTCATGAGATTCATTCAGTTTATTGTTACCAAGCAATAGTATACTCTCTGGTTGATAGCACATGACGGGCAGTGCTAGCCTGTCATTATAGGCTGGTAGTGAGATTCATAATATTTATTTAGCTGATTTGTACCTAGCAATTGGTCATTACTAGATCTATAATGCTGTAGCCAATCAGACTGCACGATTTGCCATAGTCATAGAACTTACCGTCAGTGACTTCCCCGGGATAAATAACGTTGAGTTCGTCATCTCGTGCTCGGTATATACTTGATGACATTGTACTGTAATGCCTCTCTAGTGATTTATATTTACGATAGTAGAACGCTACACCAAACACCAACACGGCTAACAAGAGAAGACCTAAGAAATAACGGATAAACCTTTGAAAATTACGTCCAAAAAATGTGGCAAGGAATTGCAGTTTTTAAAGCCCTTTGCCCTTTTAAAGCCCTTTGGCACACTTTTGAATGAAAGAATGAATGAAAGAAAAAAAGACTTGATCAAAAAACCAATCAATAATAGATTCTTATTGGAATTCTTAACGGAAAGGATAGAGGAGAAGGAAGGAAATAATTGAGTAAAGGGATGATGGAGGAAGGAAGGAAAGAAGGAAGGAAGGTAGGAAGGAAGCAAGGAAGGAAGCAAGGAAGCAAGGAAGGAAGGAAGGAAGCAAGGAAGGAAGGAAGCAAGGAAGGAATGAAATAGCTTCTAAAAATGCTTC